ACAATTCTATGAATGAGTCTTTTAAAGATTTTTCCATTGATTTTGAGTCATAAATATACACAAACGTAAAGTAAATATGAGTTACACTCAGATATCTCTGTAACAAGGGCCACTTGGTTCAGTAATACCTTTGAATGGATGTAGCACACCTGTCTGCTTAAACAGGAGGAGAACATCCCATCCCCTTCATCACTTTTTCCAAAAGACACCTCAGCTGAAAGTCACTTACCATCTTATGACACAGAGAGTAGGAAGTGCCCTAGCATGCTGCCAGGATGCTTTCTCCATGGAGCACATTGAACGCCATCAGATGATGTAAGACAACTTCTAGCAGGGTTCCATAGAGGAAGCGTCCTGACTGTATGCATCCTGACTGTGTGTGCTTCTGTGGGAACACGGGAGACTTCCCGTATTCCATAGGGAAGAACGAGGGGGAAACTGGGCAGCAACACTTCCCCCCATGGGATGAGATAAGGTGTGCAGCTGGTGATGCGGTGCATGGGGCAATGGTTTTCCCCCACTGCCCTATGGATTTTGCCATGCTGTGTGGTGAATCCCCACAAAGATTTGGATCTCAGTGTGATGAGGTCCTTGGTAATTCTGGTAAGGCTTAGGCTTTGGGGGACCATAGGTCACAGCTTGCATTTTCTACACATTTTATCCAATGTGGTTATTTCTGTTATCTATATTCCACTTCTTCACATATTCCATAGCTCATGATAAACTCTCAGGGTTCTTCATGATATCAGGATGAAAGAAACAAAATAACTACTCCAGAGCCCAAGATTTCTTGGGCGCTTCTACCATTGGCTGAAGAAGCAACACAGTTTCCCCCCATTTAAATGCTAATATTTAAGCTGAAAAGCAGCTTTCCTTTTCAGCAACAGAGCTGCTGTGGAAACATCAAAGAAACCATTCCTGTGTGCCTGGTTCTCTCTCCATGAATGTGCTTAATTTAACTCAATTCCAGAGAAGCATAATGAATTCGGGCAGCTTTCAGTATTATCTTAAGTCATGCCAGTTTACAGATACTGTTTAACAGTCAAAGACAAAATAGCATCTGATTACAGAGCATACTGTAATATTAATGGCATCCATAGCGTGCTGATGAGAAGTATCCTAATAGTAACACAGTGAATATCAAATAACACTACAACCTTATGCATGCTTGTTTACTGACAGGTAAGTTTCTTGGTTTCCAATGGTGTGGAGTGATGTGCAAATGTGTTCAGGATTGCAGCCTTCATCTGTTTGTTGTGTGATTGTAATTCTCATCCATTATTTCACAGCAGACAGTCAGTAGACTTTCTTGTGTTTCATAAGAGGTCGCAAAGACTTTCAGGTTTACCTGAGCTTATTCTCAAGGAGATTATTCAAACTGATGTTGCTTTGGAAAGCATAGAAGTATTGTTCTATTAGCAGTGAAAGGATAGCATCCTTTCAGATCAACAGGACCCACAGGGTCTCATTACCAAGAAATACTTGCTGTTAAAGAAGCCAGGTCTTTGTCCTTTAAATGTCCCTAACCTTTGTGTATTCTAAAGCTACTTCTAGGGACTAAGGAAGGTGCTTAGCGCCATTGCCTATGCTAACATGTTGGACCCAGCCATCCCAAAAATCCTGTCTGATTTGATGCTTGCTTTGTCCTGAATCCCAACACTAAAATGGGGAAGTCAAGTGTTTTCTGAGTCTCTATTTGCCTCAAGGACATTTTTCTCTTCTCTTAATCTGCTGATCTGCACATAAAATCATGTTGCATTTTTAATACATTGCTGAAACTAATTTTTAAAAGATGGCCCAGAAATCTGTATTTAAGTACACCTAACTATGTACATTTTCCTGGCCTGATACCCCCAAACTTGATGGGAATGTTATTCTACTGTGCTCCTTCTCCCGATTTAGCAAATGAGCAGTCAAATAGATGTGGGAGGATCGTGAAAGTAGTGTCAAAATCACAACTGTGTAGTGATCATGAACATGGAACAGTTACCTTGGTTTGCTCACCTGCAACTGTTCAGTATTCATTATTGCTATGTAGTCTCCATTTTGGCACCATTGTCACAATTGTAACTCCCCAATCTACTTTACTGGGCATCAGCTGCATGGAAAGATGGAGGACTATTTTGCAATGTTTGGAGCATGGATGAATGACATTTCCATCAGGTTTGGTTCAGGTGTGTCTCTGTGTGTGTGTGTGTGCAGTGACCAGAAGAAGTTACTTAGTGAAGTATATTTGATTAAGCAGCTGATGCAGAATTCCAGCCCTTATCTGTAAGGTTAGTTAGAAACAATTTAATTGTTGGAGTTAGCAACTTTGGCATGCTTATACTAATTGCTGGTATGTTAATTCCTGTTTGTTTCCTTTTCCACATCCAGTCTTTTCCTTCATCACGTTTCTCTTTTCTGTTAGACGCTGTGTTTGACTATAAATAAGTGCATTTACTCGAATATAATGCAGCATCATGCAGCATCAAGTGTAATGCGCACCTCAATTTTGAAAGTGCATATTACAAAAAATGGATTAGCCCTTGAATGTAATGTGCCCAACAGTGTAGGTATAGCACATCAGGGAGACAGGCAACTGGGAAACCATACCCCCCCAACCATGCCCCCCCCCCATCAGGCTGAGGCTGGCATACAATTCCCAAATGGCCTCATTCACAAGACCTTCAAAACTGAGAGGGTGGTTTTGAAGACATAATGAATGAGGCCAGTTCGGAATCGCATGAGACTGAGCTGGGGGGGGGGGGGGGGGGGGGGAGGGACTGAGAGGCCCCGAGGGCCACCTGGGAGGCAAAATCAATGGGTAAGCACTAGTTGGATGCTCATCCTTCTCTGGGTGCCATGGACCTCTGAGGCTGCTGCCACCACTGGGAACAGCTTCTTCATGCCCCCTGCCTACCTGTTTGGCACCTGGGGTTCCAGATTTCTCTGGGCCTTTTCACACAGGTGGGTTGAGGTGCATTATTCTAATGTACCTTCAAATCTAATGAGCACTTCAAGTTAAACAATGTAATTTAGCCAGAAAAGGTGAGCATTAGATTCAAGTAAATATGGTAATCAGTAAGGAAAACTATTTGTATATGTTTCACCAAGAAGACTAGGTTTATTTCTGTTGGTGAACCACCTACCCTGCTGCTCAAGTCTCCCATCCTGAGAAACATCAACATCCATACTGAGACTGTCCTGCCAGGAGTGGCTCAGGACTTCATGGGCTCTATGACAACCATGGGCCTGTCCCAAGAGGTGTCTGGTTCTACTTATGCTGATAGACACACTTCGGATCTTGGTTTCTGTATGGAATTGGATAATGTTGATTGTGGTGTGGAGGATCTTTCTATAGTTCCACTGTCATGGTGCCCCATGATGGCCCCATGAATTCCGCCGCTGCCCCTGCTTACCCCTGCTCATGTGATAAGGTCCTAAATGAATGAAATATGACTATATCCTGCCCCCTCTCTTTACCAAAGGCACATTTCAATTTCAGGATTAAAGGCAAACATCTAATAAGACATTTACGTTGTTACTGTCTCATCATTTACTCATATTCTAGACATTCCCTCTAGTTGCAACAGAAGGAGAGAAGGCAAGCAGCCTTGTTCAGAAAGCCACTCTGCTTGTCTCCTCATTTCCCTCAATCTTGTTTCAGAATAGACTATTTGCAGGAGAGTGACAGATGGCATCTATCCTTTGGTTCCTCCACTTTTCGATTCAAGCTGACAATAGGAAGAACATGCTAATGCTATGAACCAACATCTGAGTTTGGTTGTTTTCCTTTATCCCCCATCCGTTTTTTGTGCGAGTTATATTAATTGTTAGCAGAAGATGGTCTTCCAGTAAACTGTTCTAATATAAGCTGCTCTAGCAGCCTTTCTATAGTTAACTCCCTCCAGCCAGGATAAATGAATAACAATAAACAATACACTATCTAAAATAATGACTTGGATGTTGTTTTAGTAGCTGTGAAATGTGGAGTCAAAGGAACTTTCACAGAAGTTTAGCTCTTCCAGGCTTCTTCCAGTCTTCCAGTGTTGGACTTCTGAATTACTTCTGCTAGAGACATAGGGCTGCTTCCCATAACTGCTTATGGGAAAGGTGTTGACCATTTTTATTTTGTAGAGAATCCAAATACTATTGCCAAACCATTTTAGTCTCTTGTTTTCTTTTGGAACTTTCAACTTTTATTTCTCCATACTTAATTTATGACCATTTCTAAATAATACAAAATATTTAACTGTAGCCCCAGGCTGTCCAGTGTGCCTTGGCAGAACATTTCCTGACCATTATCTCTTGGTCTCTATCTCTACTAAATACTCCTATAATTAGTTGTTTTCTCTCTTCTCCTTTCTTTTGAATGCTTCTCCTTCTTGACTACTATACCTTTAATTACTTGTTCCTTTACATGTAGCCACAGTATTATTGAACTGGCACAGTAATGATCAAGCTTCTGTTCTCTGCTGACAGGTAACTGTGTCTACTCATTTAAATGAACAAAAAACAAAAAAAGTAAGCAATTGTGCTGGGTGAAAAAATGAACATGCTAGTTAAAGGAATAATTCAGGACTGTTATGGCAATTAGTGAAGGGAATCAACTAATTAAAGAGCTAGTAGCTCAAAACCAGAGCTTGCTTCAAAAGTAAGGTCAAAGAAAACATAACTAAGTATAAAGAACTGGTAGCTGACTTGAACAAAATCTTTCCTGAATAAAACATATTTCTGAATAAACATAAATTAGGATCTTGCCTTTGAGGATGGACTTAGTGGAATTATAGAGAATTATACAGTGCTATATTACATGCCTTGTGTTTCCATTTAGTTTTATCTTCAGAGAACACAGTCTAGAGAAATGCCACCACTGTTCAAATGGTTGCTACCAAAGTCATCTAGGAAGGGTTAATGATTTTTCCCTCAAAAAAAAAAAAAAGCAAACAGTGAGCTTAGACATATAGAAAGTTATTCAGAGAACAAACTAGGTAATCAAAGTTAAAAAGTCAAACTCCTTTGCAAAAGAATCCAGACATCTGGATTTTAATAAATTATAAAATTAAAGATTCTGATTTGTATATACATTTTAATATACAACTCATGGCTATGTAGCTGACAATAAAGCATATGCATTGTAAGTGAAGGCTGTGCCATATGAACAGAGCAAATACTGTGCAATGTAGATGAGTAAATAAAAGTAGTAAATGCATTATATAATAAAAGTAAATCACAAAAACCCTTTGAGTACTGGGCAAGCACCATTCTGACATATTTTAAACAAAAAAAACATTCTAGGGGTCTGTTCCCATGACTATTGGGCATTTCTATGGTACTGGAAAGGGATCTTAAAATCCTATACGTAGTGTCTTCTTCTCTGGTCATGTCCACCCACTACCACATAATCTGGGTCCATCTTTTATCAAATGGCCAAAATATCCCCCCCCCCCACACTGTCTTCTCTAGAGCAGAATCTTTCACATAGTTATAAATGTGTTTGAAGTGGTCAACTTAGTAGATAAAATAAAGAGTTTAATTTTTAAATGCTTGAACATAAATAATATCACCAGAACTATTGTCCTTTTGAAATAAAAAAATATGGTAGCAGAGCAATGGTTTCCCTTTCCCTGTTGCTGCAGAGATAATATAGGAGACTGTTGTAATTTGAACAAAATGTGCTTATTGAGGCAACTGGATGAAAGGTTTCCAGAAAATTCAGAAGTTACCCTGGACTTCCAAACAGGACTTGAACTGCATCTTAAACTGCAGATATCTGCCACCAAATTTATTCATGTTGTGGAAATAAGCTTTATCACTTGCTGTAATAAAAGTATTATTTATTATGTAGATTGAAAGAAAGAAAGAAGAAAAAAGAAGAAAAAAAGAAAAAGAAAAGGAAGAAGAAAAAGAAGAAAAGGAAGGAATAGATATAGAATGAGTGACCCCTGGCTTGACAATAATGGATGTGAAAGGGCTCTAGGAACATGTGTCAACCCTGTGATGTGGCAGCTTAAAAAAAAAGCGAATGTGATTCTAGGCTGCATCAATAGGATGGTATCTTAATCAAGAGAATAGTACCACTCCATTTGGCTATGACCAGATAAGATTACTATTCTATGATTCCATGTTAGCCCTTAGGATGCCATAAGACGCTTTAGTGACTTTGCTTGTGAAAGGAGCAGAACAGCACTCAGTTTAAAAGGGAAGGAGATTGTTGAACAATTCCTCCATTTGTTTTCAGAAATAAGCTGTCAGGTTTACAATTATACTCCATTGCTGGTAACTGGTAAAAATCAGACAGCTTCCTCTGAGATTACAAAGTTCTCACATTGAGCCACGGGCACAATTAGCCCATTCAAAAGAAAGTATTAGGTAGCTACTGCCTAATTACTAGCTGGATTTCTTACAATGCAGTGAACAAGCCAGTTGCTTCCATTTTAGAGAATAATACTCTAAATACCATCTGAATTCTGATTGAAAGATTCATAGAGAAGTAAGAATAAACATGCACACAAAAAGAATCAAGAAATTTTGACAAGGATTTGTTAGTTTTGGCAAGCTACCTCCTGTCCTTCCCCTTCCCTCTGCCCCCATTGCCCCATTGCCCTCCCTGCCTCTGGTACTCCTGATTAGATACATGAACTGCAAAACTAATTCTTCTTTCCATAAACTGTAAATAGTCTGGTGTGTGGAAAACATCCACAGCAGCCAACCTTTCCATGAGAAGTGACTAGTAGACAAGCCAGAGACAATGAATTTTGTTTGCCAAGATGATTCCCTGCTGATCCAGAAAATAGAGCAGATTGAGAGTTGAGGAAGGACTGAGAATGAAGATGACTTGTGTTTCATCAACAAAACAATAAGATGCTCTTTTTTGTACCTACTGGAAAAATTGAACGAACAAATGCATTGGCAAACAATGGCTGACGAATTTATTAAACAACTATAGTGGAGATAATACTTCTCCTCTCCCACTCCCCAGTTAATAATGGTCACCAACCTGTAAGGGAAAGCTTGCATACCCCAGAAATACTAGCAGAATTTGTGTATTTCGAACTACTAACAAGGCCTGGTGGACTTTAAAAACCAACTTACAAGACAAGGAAATCAAGATGTAAGGGAGGAATGAGGCCCAGGGACTAGTAGAATTATCTTTTCTAAACTCTGTTCTACGATGTGGGTCAGAGCTATAGAGGTAACTTATCTTTGTTTATTTGAAATGAATGCATGCCTTTATTGAGATGTTAATGAAATTACTTGAGAATATTGTCATCAAGTACTCTGATGCCTCTGTTAGTGTTAAATTAAAATGCCCGAAACTTCTGTCAGAACACCTTTCATGAATCATGAACATATTGCAGACTTGAGCAGAAATACAACTGGCCAGCCAAGGGTAAGCTGAAAGCTATGTTTTCTGTTTTATAGATGTGTCTTTCCTCAAAAATGTGTCATGCCTAATTAGCAAAATGTAATTAGTAAATACATATATCTTTCTGTATTTTCAAGACAGTAATTAGTTTTCACAATTATTTTTCCATGCATTTCAAAGGAATATGCTACTTACATAGTGATGGAAGGTAATTTCTGAGCTGCACATTTTTTTAGAAAGTCGGATAGATGAAGAATAAAGTGCACAAATATGCCAAGATGATTAAAGGTGACCTTTCTTTGGTGGGAAGAGGGGATAAAGAACAAAAAGCACCCTCAAAGATGCCAACAGGCATCTCTCGAATGTGCTATATAGCTCCAGAAAGAAAGTCTTATGATTTCAAGATGTTTACTTTATAAAGTTCTGCTATGACATGATAAGCCTTTAAATTTCATCAGTTTCATTCAGTGGACAAGTACCCGAATTCAACAGTGACTATTATGTGCAAAAGTTGGCCTACAAGAAAGTAGGTGATACATTGAAGGGCATGCATAGTGCCACCTTCACTGGGCATACTCATCTGAATACTAACCAAATAGCTGGATACATTTTTGGTGTGTAACAAAATGTATGCTCCTGATCAATGCTAGTATTTGTCACAAACAGGGTCATGATGTGTGAATGTTTAAAAAGGAAGTCAACTGATCAGAAATTAAGTTAATCATATACTTGTGTAACAGGGGTGACCAACTGTGTAAGGCCAGGGGACTCTATTAGCACCCCCTAAAATACCTTGGAGAGCTGCACACTTACATGTCCTGTGGAACTCTCTGCCCTGGAGCGTGGTGGAGGTGCCTTCTTTGAAGGCTTTTAAAAAGAGGCTGAATGGCTATCTGTCAGGAGTGCTTTGAATGCAATTTTCTGCTTCTTGGCAGGGGGTTGTACTGGATGGCCTATGATGTCTCTTCCAACTCTAGGATTCTATACTAGTATGGAGCTCCTTTTCAATTAGCCTTTGAAAGCCTTTGAAAGCAAAGAGAGCAACAAGAATCTTGCAGGCTCAACAGAGTAATTGTACTGTAGGTATACGATGAGATAGAGATAAACCTGGTAGAATGATCACAAGAATGTTCAGCCTTCCTTATCAATAACAAAGTAAATCAATGCACAAAGATGTTAGTTAGTTTTTCAGTCTGCATTATTATTATTAGTCAGATTGAAAATCTATGCCTGTTGTCAATTATCTGCCTCAGTCAGATATATGGTAAAAACAGTAGAGGTACTTATGAATCTGATCCATCTTTGTTCATAATTGCTTTATTTTTAAAATTAGATGAGTTTAAATTTTAACCCAAAAGAACTTTTCAAAGTAAAATTTTTGTAATCAATTGGAAGCTGGAGTCCCAAACTCATGTATGAAGTAGTAAACCCAATTAGTGTGACTACTAATGAACGAACATCTTTAGGAACTGGCTGTGTATTTGTCTCTGAACAAAGTGAACAGCAATAAACTGTGATGTGCCTGCATGCATGCTTGCTTTCCAAAAGTGCTATATGAGATGAAACCAGTACTCAAAGGGCTGTCAAATTATACATTCTAAGATCTAAGCAGATTCAGTATTTTGTCTACATGTATATGCATAATGACATGTGTTTGCTTCTGGTACAGTACAACTGTTCTAATTAACTCTTGATGGTACAAGTTGTTCACTGCCACAATGACAAACATTATACTGTAGTAACTGCAATAAAACAAAAACCATATATCTTTGTCACAGAAAAGCACCAACTGAAAAAAACCTAGAAATCCAGTTATGTAAATAAATCAGACTGTCTGTAAAAGCTGGAATAAATGATCTGAATAACTGTGCTGGAAACATTTAGAATGAAATGCAGATATTTGGAAATGCACATAAAACTAAATTATGGATCATTTGGGCAGCCCATCCAGTGAGTTAGTATATTAAGTTTTATTTCAAATATTTTTTCAAGAATAATATTAATATTTCCTGATTGGTAGGAATGAAGACACACACATTGGACAGTTAAAATGTTTATGGATAGAGGAGTCTATTTCAGAATTAAGTGCTATACTTTAGCAAGTGGTTTGTCTCCCTGACACTGATGGGTCTAATGGATACATGAATGTTATGCCATTGTTGGCCTCTAAAGTGTGAGAAAAAGAAAACAGGTATAACGATGCCCTTCACTGTGTAGAAACCTTCAGCAATAGTGTGTAAACTTTTTCTTCTGAATAAATGAGAAAATTAAAAGCTATTTTGATGTGGATTATATTTATCAGCATAAGGGGGTTTCCTCTCTTACACCACTAGAAGAATTGGCCCTTCCCAGCTGGATTTTGTACAGTAAGCAGCATCACTTCCTATCTCCTTTGCTTTTCCAGTGGTTAACAGAAAGCACAAACCATTATGCTTGATTCCTGAAACAGGGTCTTAATTTTCACCTTGAACTTGCAGTGGTACTCCTTGTTGCTTCCTGAGTATGGGAATAGCACCACTGAATTCAGTGGAAAAGCCAGGTGCAATTGGCACACTGGATTCTGGCACATTGACTTTGAAATAGATTCTAATCAATCAATCAGATTTGTTAGTCAACTAAGCATGAGTGTTTGAAGAAACAAAATCTCCTTCCTTGAAGCTGAGGCTTGACTGGCTACACGACAGGCCTCTGAACATTACTGAGGCTTTTAGAGCCAGCTATTAAAACCTCTTGTCAAATACGTTGAGGGTGCCACAATAACATCCCATTGGATTCCTGCAAATACACTGAGGGAGCAACAGAGACCACACAAAGTCAGAGCCCTGCTGACCTTGGCTAGGTTGGAGCAGTGAAATCTGTAAGGATATTGCACTAGTTTCTGCAGCAACCTGTAATCCTAGCCATTATTACAATATTTATATTAACCTTAATTAAATAATCTTAAATTTCCATGTACTGAAGGTAATAGCATTTGGCATTTCTGCCATAGCACCACTATTTATCTTTAGTCTCTATGGTAACATAGGCAGTACTGCGGTATTGGGAACATCTCTATAAGAGAGAAAAAACATGGGGTATATTTTCATTTTAAAGCAATTTCCTGAGCATCTCTTTTTTCCGTTTTTCGGCAATCAGCTCCTGAATTCTTTGGTTCTTTGTCCTTTCATAAGGTGGTTTTCTCCTCAAGATGATGTTGTGGTGTGGCACTTCATTTTCCAGCCCATGAATTTTATATGGAACGTCCACCGCGTTACCTTCCGGCTGATCTACCGTTGTATTGGAACTGGTGATGTTCACTTTAGGAACAATTGGTGGGCCCAAAGTTGTATGTGAGATGGGAACATCAACAGGTGTTGTAAGTGTGGGAGTGGTCTCCTCTTCAATATCATTCACTTTACTACGGTTGGATTCTGTGGCGTTCCCAATTCCTGTGTTGTTACCATACAAATTACAAGACTTACAACACAGTTTATTGTAACCAGGAATTGCACAGTACCGATAGAGAACTTCCATGCGACAAAACATTGACTTGTCTCCTTGGCAATGTTCTTCTGGAAGAGAAAAATAGAGTTACATGTACATTATAAACCAGAGACAGATTCAAGCAAACTTGGGCATCAAAGATTAAATCCAATTTAAGGTGGAATTACAGTAAATCCAATGAGGTAAGTAAAACATATATTACTGTTGAATAACAAGTCCTCTTCATTTTAATTAGTCTACTTCCCTTGGGACAAAAAAGGAGATTTACCAAAAAATTCTTTAACACAGTAAGACAACATACAGCACACTGTGTATGTTCATGTATAAGTCTAGATTTTTTTGCCAAAAATTCAATCCAAAAAACCTAGGGTGATTTATCCACAGGCCAATGTACCTTAACTCTTATTTTTAAAAAGAGCAATCCACTTTTATGAGTAGAGTGGCAAAAGGTAAGAGTTTAGTCTGTCCCAGGAGAACACCAATCATATATACTTTCTCTGCTGTGATGACACTTCTGGTCTTTTTGAATGCCTGGTAGGAACATGGTGGCAGTGGCAGCCCTTTGGCACTTTCCCTCAAACAAGTGCCAAGACAGTAGAGAGGGTCATTGTTCCTTTTAGGTTCTCCCAGGATGGACTAAGCTCTTATCTTTTGCTACTCAGAAAAGGGGGGGGGGTCTTTTTTTCATAGGACGTAATGTTGTATCTTAACTTCATGATTATATACCGTAAGCCCTAACTGAATCGTTCTCACATATCCTGTCTATTTAAAATATATTATGATTCTGACAAGAAAAGGACCTGCCTATCTTAAAAAACACAGTGTAAATGTTCTCAAATCCTTTCATGTCTTGAATGTATCTATTTTGTGTCCCAATCATTTTATCATAATATTGTATCATAATAGAAATCATACAAATGTCTAGATGCACAGGTTCACTCTTAGTGTTAATGTAGATATAAACTTTGTGTCCTTCTTGGCTTCATTGCCTTGATAAATCACTAAAGCATTACTGAGAAACTTTGTTCATTCTGCCATTGGAATAAAAAAAAACTTCTTGAATGCAAGAAGCCTCAAGCCTCTCGATAACCTGGTAATCTCACTCCTCGAGGGGTAGTCTACAGTGAGACTGAGACACACATGATTTAAAAAGCAGTTTAGATCTTGTGAAGGAAACTGGAAGTGGCCTTTAATGAATAAGGTTTTTGTTCAGCTAAAACTATGTTGATTTTGTTAAGAGCTCTGGTTCACAAAATTTAACATGTACAGAAATTGACCTATAATCATTAAGGTAAATGTAAAGGTTTCCCCTGACATTGAGTCTAGTAGTGTCTGACTCTGGGGGGTGGTGCTCATTTCCATTTCTAAGCGGAAGGCCTGGCATTATCCGTAGACACCTCCAAGGTCATGTGGCCGGCATGACTGCATGGAACGCCATTACCTTCCTGCTGGAGCGGTACCTATTGATCTATTCAAACTTGCATGCTTGCTAGGTTGGCAGAAGCCTGATCTAACAGTGGGAGCTTACCCTGCTCCTTGCCTACCTTTCGGTCAGAAAGTTCAACAGCTCAGTGGTTTAACCCACTGTGCCACCAGGGGGCTCTCTATAATCATTATAGTATAATCATTAGATTATATTCAATTATCGCAGTAGATCATGGCTAATCACCATTTGTAAATAGCAATCAAATACTTCCACAACTAAGTAATTTAAGAATTCAGTTCCACACAGGAAATACATTCATACAAATTGCAGGTTAGACTGAGGTGAAGGGAAATAAGTATCTACAGGCTCAAATAGGTCTGGGAAAATAGTTTTAGGTTAATTCTTTTAAAAAGTCAGAATCCTGAGATACAAAGGGGATTTACCCCTGGACCACACAATTCCCAGCTATATTCTAAGGGGAAGAGAGCATTTATATCACTATAACCTGGTGACTACATAAAACAGGAGGCATGGTTTTATCATTTTCAATACTGCATCTAATTCATTCTGGAAATAGCTGACAGTATGGCTATCTTCTTATTTCTTTGCCACAGCTATGCTGGGGTGACATAGCGAGCAGTACCAGCAAACACAGATCCTTGTACAGATGACATTCTGAAAATTCAATTCCAGGCTACCAGGTTCATAAATGTAATACAGTAAATATAGGTTAGAAAATGGCAGACTTTCATTAATTTCCCTCCTGTATGTGTTTATTTCTGGAGACAGCCAAAAGCCATGCTTGAAGGAAGGATGAGGCAGTTAAACCATGAAAACAGATTTTGAAGAGCAAATTACAAAAGTTTCCAGTAGAAGTACCATGAAGGCATTAATGCCATGTGTGTTCAAAGCAGCTTTTTTGTCATTTCATTGGCTAGTCCTGCAAATCTTGGAGTGTATGTGGAAAATATTCCTGAAAGTCAAGCATGGAGCCTCCTTCTGACTCCATTTACTGCAAAAGCTGAGCTTGGGAATGTTACCTAGAACTCCATGAATTTTCCAACTACATACCATGATGTTTGAGGAATTCTGAGAGTTGTGGTCCAAATAACCAGTGTTCCCAAGCTCTGGGCAAAATGGTGTAGCAATACTTCAAAGCCTCTTAGTGCAAAGGAACAGCTTTGTCAAGTGAGGATGGGGGTGACAACAAAGGAAGATGTATGTGTAGGGAAAGGAGTTACACTTCTTATCACTTCCCCAGTTCAAATCCACCCTTCCATTAGTGTTTGTCTCCTTGAAGTCTCTGTGTCATGTTTCTAAGAGTTCTTAGCAAAGGGTGCAGCCATCCAGGATGATATGCAAGCATCATGAGGCTGCTAGAATTGTGCTGCAGGCAAAGAGGGGAGCAGGAGTGTCAAGCTTTCAACAGCATTGCGACATACAGATCAAATTCAGAATCAGTTGTGGATGACGTCTGTTCACTCACTTTCCCATTAAACAAAAAAATAGGGCATGAGTGTGTTTAATTGGCAAACATAGCAGCATGAGCTAACTTTTCGGCATTGTGTTTTCAAAATCCAGTATTCATTGATGAGGTGAGAAACAATTACTCCATAATACAATCCATTTTTAAAGAAAAAAAAGCTGATTATTATGTTACCTGACTTCATGTTAGCTTGTAAGTGCTGTTAGGCCAAATCCGTATGGGGGGAAAGCACTTTCTTAGAATTCCTGAAAGCTAGGGATAACATATCTGTTTCTATTTTTTTAAAGCACTAGTCCAGGCATCCTCAAACTGCAGCTCTTAAGCTGTTTGGCCTTCCCAGCCCCAGAAGCCCTAGCCTGCTTGTTCAATAGTCAGGAGTTCTGGGAGTTGGAGGCCTAAACGGCTGGACGGCCACAATTGGGGGAAGCCTGCATTACGCTGAAAAGGGATAGGATTGGAATATATCCTGATGCATAATTAGGACATATATTTGATACTTTTTAAATTAAAAACTACTAATTAAACTAAGAACTAACTAAAATATCTTTAGAAAAATGCCTTATTTTTCAGCAGTTAAATAAACAACAACAAACCACCACACAAATATATTCATATACAGACTCACCTAAAATTGATTTCTTTGGTTGTGCTGTCACAACTACTTTTTGTATAAAAAATATTCCAGAGAAAGGGATAGATTCTAGAAGAAGCAGACATGCTTCTCTGTTCCAGGAAACAGCCTTATAGCACCTGGAGGGTTTACACTTTTATTTTGGCATAAGCTGTTGTAGCCTGCATGTCATTTGAAGCAATAAAAATGAATGCCACATCAACTAATAGTGACATCCTATAAACATTTCCCTAAGTCCCACTGATTTTAATGAGCTCTCTAAGTTAAACATGGGCCTGAGTATATTGTAAACCTGTTAGTGTTTTAGGTACAAAATATTCTTGGTGGTTCCCCCCCCCTCCTTTTAAACTTGTTAAAGTGCATATATATCAGAATAGATTTGTGCTTCTTTTCCTAAAGCAAAACCGCCAGACCTGCTTAACTTTCATCTTATTTTATTTTGCAATATGCATGACAGACTGTAAGTATGTCTTCATCTCAGCAGTAAGAAAAAAAATAGTCATTTGCACAGTCACTTTGGTACACATTTCAACTGGCCTCATAAAAAATATTGAACAGCAAACTGAATTGGCACATCTTTTAATATTATGTTAATACATACAAAACACTAATAAAATATCCCTGATAAACCAAAGTGCATATAGATCTAGTGCGTGATGCCCAGATACCTTATTGCACCATTTTTCAATAGCCACCCATATTTTGAAACATCACTTAACAGTTGTTTATTTAAAGGTAACTAACAGTCATTAATAAGTTGATAACAGTTAAACACCAATTATTTTACATAACAGTATTTAGCGCCAGATAACGTGGCTTTGCCTTTTACGTTGCCATGTATAATTACTAACATGTTGCAGCAGGAAATCATCATAGTAACAGCAAAATTTAAATATGTGATCACATGATAATGACAATTTTGAAGTGCTACATTGTGAAAGATCCACAAGGCCAACTACCTATTGCCTATAACTGGGTGGAAAACCACAGGAAGCAATTTGCTATGGAACTGAGGGACCAAGACACTTCCTGTATTTGATATTACTTAAATGGATTTGGATCTTCAACACAAATATATGCTGAAGCAATGAACTACAATTAAACTGAATTTGTTTGGCAATAGATTTTTTTTCTAGCTTGCTATTCTAGCCTTCCTTTCTCATAAATGGACTGTGCAAACCTCCTTCCAGTGTTTTTTTGTTCAAGTAAAAACACTGTACATTGAACATGGATTCATGATTCCAATGTACTGTTTATATTTAAAGCTGGAACTGGTGGTTAATGCCAATGCAATTAAATATTAAGGCATTTTTCTAAACATAAGTTCTTTTCCCCCTCCCTAAGCAAAATGAAACAAAGCAATAAAAATTGAGGTAATTCTGTAGTTGTTCACACTGTTATGTTTGCCAGTCAACACACGTCAATAGATCACACACATACACACGCAGACACACACAACTGAGCCACTCAAGTCAAACATGCAAATGGTGAAAAAAGACTGATGGATGCAATGATGTATAAAGAGTTCACTGTTGAGTAACTTTTGACATTGCTCAGCATGACAATGTTATGTTGCCTCAAGGATATTAAAATACCACACACCACAACTTGCAGCATAGACCACATGGTTTTGCCATATTATATTTCTGCTTGCTTTAAAAAATCCATACGGAACAGTCTGGCAGAATTGAGTAGAGAAACTTGCTGGTTTTGTAAAAAAAAATAACCCAATAAATTATAAATAAATAAGAGTTAAGGAAGAAAGGTACTCCAACTAAAGCATAGCACAGTAGAAGCATGTGGTAAGAATATAAAGAGTCTCTTCTACCTGTAGTAAGAGACTTTTTTGATGGTACAAAATAGAAATTTTATAGTTAGGATTCCCCCTCCCACCCCCTAAAAACCACCAAGAAGCATGAGTTTAGAAGCAATGAGATTGTAAAGAAAGATGGAATGAGTGCTTTCATTTTGTTTGACTGCCCTGCAAAAATACTGAAGCTAGCCTGTGGTGAGATAGAGGACCTTTAGATAGAAAGGAGAACTTTAGCACTACAAGGTGTCATTATTGTGATGTGATCACATTCACAATAAGTTCTCAGTTTCACCATCAAACTGAAACCACGAGCCCGTTAAGAGCCTTTTTTCACCATCACCAATCAACAAGCAAACTGATACCAGCTCCCTTTTTATAGGACTTTCAACACACTGAGGAGATCCTACTCCACACATCCAACACCTTAACAATCTCCAACGCAGCAAGTGCTACGCAATCTCCAGAGAAGAAAGACACTGTGCACCAAGGCCCAGCGAAGGGGAGAAAAAGATTTAGCCCAAGACAGAACTTGGTATACTCAAGGAAATGTTCCATATAGGAAGAAAAATAGAGCAGAAGGCAAAGTCCACATTGGATGTGGCATGCATTTATGGGCAAAGGCAGAGTTATAAATGGGTCTTTTACTTGAAGATATTTTCTGGATAGGATAGTCTGGGTCTGGTCTTGACAGCCACTGTATCATGTAAGTCTTCTTTGAGGTATCCGATGAATTTTCTGAAAGAAAAAACCCCACAGAGAGTGGGAACAGATATGAGCACATTTGTAGTTTCTTAAAGCGCCATCTTTGGCTGAGTGAATAGAATTAATAGCTACTATTTTATTTAATCATTAAAATAATGCCTCTAGTAAAAGGTCAAAACTAAACTTAGCAAAACAGCTTTTTAATTTTAAAGAAAATAGTTTGTCCATGTCTGCTCAAATACATTATGGACTGAAATGCTTTCAGAAAAAAATGTAGATTACAGAAACAGTGTTATACAAGGGTTGGATTTTTTCTACATTAAGATTTCTTCAACCTAATGGCTGACATTCCATGAGTGGTGTATGCAAGTGTAAGTGTACCTTATGTATGTCTTTTTTTTTTGTCACAGCAGTATGCTCTTCCACTCATTGTCCCGCTATGAAAACATCACCAGCAATGAAATGGACATAGCTACTGAGGCACAACAATCATTCCTGGGGCTGCTGACAGGGAAGCTGTAGCAAAATTTCTTATGTGAAACTCTTATACTATGTTTATCCATGGCCATTCTCAATCAATAGTTGTTGAGTGTGTACCTAAAGTATTTGAGATCTATTATCTCATACTGTAAAGTATAAACACATAGTAATACCCCTGTAACTACAGAAGTTCCTAATGATGGAACCCGTAGAGAGAAAACAGTCTCTCTAGGGATTTGCTAGGCCCTGCAGGTGATTCGATGGTATACTCCCCCTGGAAGTCACCACAGAAGACCTAGAAAATTCCTAGAGAGATTGCTTCGTTATGAATCCTTAGGTCCTCCAAGGCAAATTCTATGGTAAACTGGAAGTGAAATAATTTAGTGGTGTTTGGTCATATCTCTAAGTTCAAGTAACTGCAGTCTGGTCAGAAATATATTCCTTGTGGATACAGGAGTCTTACTGTATTTCAAAAGTTGTATGCCATCTCATGAGAGGTACACCTGTCAGAAAACCACAAGTATCTGAGACCTAGGAGATTATTTCTTTTAATGATGTTAAGTAGACAAATCATTTCACAGAATAGAAAAACTTAAGTAAAAAAATGAAAAAGGAAGGATTACTGGCAACCTTTCCTTAACTTCTTTAGTACTCAAGCAGACCAACTTCCAAACCTAAAGCAACAAGGATGTTGGCTAATAAAACATTCACAGACAAAGCTGAGCTACTATTGAGAGACAGCAACACATTCCTTCAATTTGGTGGTCCATTTTGGTTGAGATTCAAGAGTAATGACAACAAAGCTCCATCATCATTACTAAAAGGGCATGGAGATGTGCTTTGGAGCCTTCAAACTACTGTCTATGCAACTAATATGATCCTCGATATTCCCCCGCTTTAGTTCTGATCCTGATCCTCCCAGGATCAGAAGGCACCAGAAAACATGTTTGCTTCTGTTGGTTTGTATTTGCAACCAATGTACAGCCACTGAGTTAAGAATATCTGACATATTATTTTGACTAAAAATCATGATGAAAATAGATTCAGGCATTCATTTTCAAACTAAGAGACAAACCAGATGTCACAAAATCATTAGCATATTTAACTGGAACAATTACTTAAGTTTCACAGAAGCATCCTGCCACAGAAACATTTTTTGTATTTTAAAAAGGTGTAAACACTCACTAGGACATAAAGGTAGTCTGCATAATCTTGTTGTCTCTGGCTTTTCTTCTCTACAAAGGCCAATGAGATTTTCTCTTGTCCTGCAAAGTACTTGCCTGTCTTGTGTACCATTACCACAGGTTACGGAACACTGAAGAGAAAACAGAAAAAAGTTTTGCAAAAGCAATTGTTTATAGTAGCTGACTGCTTTATTATTAGTTCAAAACATGCTGGGGCCCCAAATCCAATCTGGAACCATGCTGTTACATAAATGTTAAATTCCAGTATAACCATCATGTTTTTCTTCTGGAGATAGAAGTGCCAATGTTCCCACAGAATTTCCCACCAAAAATGACTTCCTGGTGATTTCAGTGGAAGCAAACTTGTGAAATTATTTCATTCTTTTGTTATTCCTATTGAAGATCTGATCTCTATTGAAACTAAGCCACATGTATATGTATGGGATACGTGTGAACCTTGCAGCCCACGAAGGACTCTGGACTGGGACAAATATACCTCTGAAATTATTATAATTATAAAATAATAGCAGTAACACATCAATGGAAGGTACTCAAAGCCTTTCGATTAGTTCGATTTACTCGTTTGGTAACACAGGGCATTCAAGGATACAGAGGTGCTTATTGTTCCAGGTTACTTTTATTGTCCCATATTTGACGTGATTTCTTTTTTATTATTTATTTATGTTTGTTATCTGCTTTTTAATTTTATTGATAGCTGAGTTATACTTTGGATAATATACTTTGGATAATACCAACTCTTTGCTTAACATTCTGGATCCTAACCAACTTAGATGTAGAGGATCACCTGGAATACATACGTGGAGCTTGTCTCCAAATGGTACCAAATCCATCTGAACAATTTTTAAAAAATGAATACAAAAACGTGCTAAGGATATGCCTTCTTTTGCTATAATATGCAATTTTCCAAGGTCTGCACCAAAGTGATTTAATACATTTTGAAATTTGTGATCTGTACATAATATTCTATTTCTGGCCAACAATGTGCTGCCACCTATAACTCATTTTTCAATTTTGGGAGATTTGGTACCTTTCAGAAACAAACTCCACTTATATGAAACATAACTATACCTGTAAAATACCCAGAGCAACCAACAAACAAGGCTTCTGGATTACAAGGGCTGACATTTTTTTCAATATGTTCAATAGTTTCAATGTGTGCAACCTCACTACCTCTGAGGATGCTTGCCATAGATGCAGGCGAAACATCAGGAGAAAAATTGCCTCCAGAACATGGCCATATAGCCCGGAAAAACCTACAACAACCCAATATTAAGATTTCCCCCCCCCCCAAAAAAAAAAATCCCAAATCTATTCATTGGTAATAATGGATGTGATATGACACTCTTCCCTTTCTCCAAAGTAAATTAAAATAATTTTAACCATACTGCCAATTCCTGCTTACCTGTGACCAGGGTCCTATTCGCCATTGTGCCGGGCAAAGTTCCCGGTTGCAAGCCCTCCGACCCTCTGGGCGATCACTGCTGCAGTATTTGGTATGAACAGAGCGGTTTGTGTTGTCATGTAGAGGTTGGATGCACCGGACAGAACGCACCTGAAAACCCGTTTTCCCACAGGTTTTGCTGCATGGTTCCCAATCACCTGTAACCCATCTGGTTCAATGGGGGGGGGGGGACAGTTCAACCAAATAAATGTATAGCTGGCATATATAACATATATAACAATAATCTATTAATTGATAATTCTTAAAGTATGCATTATTAATTTGGCACATCTATTTGTGTATAATATAAAATGGGAAAGAAGTAGAAAAAATATATTTCCAAATTTGACTCCTGCTTGTAAGAAACTGAAAGATATGTGAATATTTTCACTAAGAAGCTTACCAATCATGAATTAAATACATACTTTAAAAAACATTTAGTCTGATTTTTTTTCATCCAGAGGGCTTGGACACTTTGCTGGTTTCCTTACTTAACAGTGAAAAACACCAATCCATGAAGCTGTAAACTACAGATATTACCGTAAGCACAAAAGTTACAAGATCTCATTGTATGTTCTAATTATAGCCTGAATAAATTCATGTGTGGTCCTTTTTGAAGTAAGTTTTTCATTTTACTTTTTGGAGATTTGTTGATTTTACAGTTTCCTTCCAGCCTCCCTAACAGCAGCTATTTGTAATGTTCTAAATAATTTATGTGGAAATTAACAGAGGAATAAACCATAAACAAATGTTTTTAGCAGACATTGGCATAGTAGCAGGGTTGCTCTTAAAGATGAATTTGTTACTTCAGATATCCCAACAGTTCTCAACTAAAAACCACATGAAATGAATGGAAGACCATAACCAAGTAAATTGTCCTACAGGGTTTTCAATATAATATATCAACTTCTTTTAGGACCAATGTTCAGTAGTAGTTAATGCCAAGTCTGGTGGAGCAGAGCCAACAGCTCAGCAGAGGGAAACCCCAAAAGTAATTTTTTTAAATTTCTTTCCATCCTCTGATACTGTTTTGGGCCCCAATATTTTATTTTCTAAAAATTAAATCATGAAGCATGCATTTTACCCCTACACATTACATTTGACAGTAAATACTTTTTGGTTTAAGGATTTTGAAAATTGAGGTGCACATTCGATTCAATGGCGCATTAGACTCGAGTAAATACAGTAAATCCTCACACAGTGCATTCTTTTCTCATACTCTAATCCAGAGAGTCAAGCAGACTCCATCTATTGAGCAAAAGCTACCCCTAACACTTAGGCAAGGCTTATCAAAACGATCCCCACTATTACAGAATCAAACACAACTTTCCTGGGATTGGATTTCTCCCCTTTCCCCAGAGTTTTACTGAACATCTATTAAAGAGGAAGTGAACTATTAACAGCAATAAAAGTAAAGGTTTTCAATTAACAGTAAAGTGAAGCAGATTAACATATTTATCACACTTGAATTTGCTTTTAGCTCCTCCTATATTCTTTCCTGTTTAGAACTCCCCAATCCTTTGTATGCTATGTTTAGCAAGCCACTTTGGGTCACATCACAGGTTAAAGGCAGGATCAAATGTAAATAAATAAATACAACTATCTCTTTGAAATGAATAGAAGCAGTCATCCAATCTTATGAAGGAAAACTGCAACCACCAGCTGATGGTGGTATCTTCTCTCAAGTCAGTCAGCCTTCGCTCACAGTTCCTCCAAGTTTCCTATCCTAACAATGTGACTGACTTTCAAAACTGAATCTTATGTAAAAGTGCTTTGCTAAGCATTATTTGTTTTCCTTGTTATTTTCCTTCTGGTCTTTTTCAATATGAAGTTCAACAAAAACAGAAAGATCATGCATACAGAATACACACATCCTCTCCAAAGTAGTCAGCTAGACTCATGATACAATGAGTTCCAATGTAGTATAGCTTGATATTCCTCCAAGTATGTGTTGGTTCCCTCACCAAATAAAATAAGGATCAGAATCCTATTGGGACACCGCACTAATGTAAAAATAGGTGCCCAAGTAGTGGCATTTTTTCAAAGGTTGTATATGTGTGGTTCCTAATGCAGCCAATCATTTTACATGCACATACTCACACAGAGCTCCAGTTCTCAGTTAGTGGGTGGGAAGCTCATGAACTGTTCCACACTGGATGAACCATGACAAATGTTTGTATAATAGTTAGATCAGGGGTCCTCAAACTAAGTCCCCTAGGGTCAGAAATGGCCCTCCAAGGTCATTTACCCAACCCTCGCTCAGGGTCAACCTAAGTCTGAAATTATTTGAAAGCACACAACAGCAACAACAATCCTATCTCATCAGCCAAAAGCAGGCCCACACTTCCCATTGAAATACTAATAAGTTTATATGTGTTAAAATTGTTCGTCATTTTAATTATTGTATTGTTTTTCAGTGTTTTTTGTACTACAAATAAGATATGTGCAGTGTTCATGTTTTTTCAAATTATAATCCGGTCGTCCAACAGTTTGAAGAACTGTGATCTGGCCCTTTGTTTAAAAAGTCTGAGGACCCCTGAGTTAGACTGTGCCAGTGTATATTTATCCTACATTAAAAGTATATAGAATCTCAGCCTAGCTTGACAAGGTATAATGTGTCCAGAGAAGAGCAACAAAACTATCTAAGGTTTGGAAACTAAGTCTTATGAGGAACTGTTGAGGGAGAAGACGAAGAGGGGATATGTTTCATATTTGGAAGGGTGTCACATTGAGGAGAGGGCAAGCTTGTTTCCCGCTGCTCTGGAGATTAGGACACAGAGCAATTGCAGGAAAAAAGATCCCACCTTAGCATTAGGAAGGACTTCCTGACACTAAGAGTTGTTTGGCAGTGGTATATGCTGAGTGTGGTGGAGTTTCCTTCTCTGCAGACTTTTAAGCAGAGGCTGGATAGTCATCTGTCAGGGGTGCTTTGATTGTGTATTCCTGCATGGTAAAATTGGTTTGGACTGGATGAAACTACTACTCTCTTCTACCTCCATGATCTATTTCCTTTTCAAGGCAGGATCCTTGTATCAGAACCATTAAACTTCACAGCAAAATAAAACAAAATAGACATCTCTTCTTTCCTGTTTACTAATGTGGAGCTGCAGTAGAAGGACTCCTGCAAGCACCAGGAATGTCTTAAGCCCAGGCACCAGCACACTATTTTAGGCAGAGGTCCGTGCTGCCAGTGAGTCCTTGATTGGTCAATATTTCTGTAATACTCCAGTAACTAGACCTACCAGTCTTTCCATCACCTTGCTATGGATCCTGGGAAGGGGGAAGAGGTTGAGACATCCCAAGGCCAAGTGGGTGCTGAGCCCCTCTAAAATGATAAGGTGCAAGTGATCGTGACCACTAAGACTTAAGAGTAATTGTTACCCAAGGAACTACCAATCAAGTAACTGTCCTAATGTATACCTCTCTTTGCATTCACTTAATAGAACCTTATAAATGTTCTCCTTTCCTCTATATATTAATTGTATATAATATTAGCCATACTCCTTCTGGCCAGTTCTACTTTTTCCCCATGTTTGGAAGGATTTGCCCATCCCAGTATGACACACCTACTACTACACAAAAGAAAGGAGGAGACACATTGGAGCTATCATAAATGATTCAACAGAAAATTATTTCTTGTGAGCCAAAAATATTCCTTTCCCACCTACTCTTCCAGCAAACACACATCTTTAAAAGCTAGCCTGTGCATTTTATTGGATTAGGACTGCATGACATTTACATCTTTAACAGCCTATAAGTAATTTTACGTATTCAAAAATTCACACACCATAAAATAAATTTATACAAATCCTTTTCACATCTGCTTCTACCTTGATTAACTACATATGGGTGAAGCACAGGGTTATGCATCAGATAGAAAATATTATTCCACTCCCCACCCCTATCAAAATCCGACTTGGAATCAGTGGAAACAATTATTTATAGGGATGTTTTCTTCTTTCCCCACCTAGCAAAATACTGGCAATCCGATCACATCATTGCATAACTTCTGATTTGGTAATATTCTAAAAATTATATCTATATAGCAATCCTGACCCAAAACATCCACAAGGGGAGGGAAGCGAAAGAGAGGTCATTTGAGGCCAGCTTCAGAAATTTCTGCTTCAACTGATTCTTACGCAACAGCAACAGGCTATTCTAGCAAAGTGAAATGCTTACATGGGCTGGGAACATTCCTGGAGATTGCACACCCTACGAATGGGCTTCAGTTTCTGGATAACGTCACAGTAACTACGATGAACCATTTTGTGGTCAGTCTTCCTCCGGCAACCATACTTTGTAAATTGATGACCTGAAAAAAGTGTTCTTTTTATTTTCATCATTTTAAAGGGCTTGCGTGTAATTCAAATTTTACCCCCCACCCCATTCTCCTGTCTGTATCCAATTTAAAAGTGAGGCAAATGTGAGTGTGGCCTCTTTTGCAAGGTCAGAGTGTCCTCGTTTAGCCCCTGAATCTATCCATGGGAGTTGGGGTTGAGGTTTCTGCCACTTTGTGGGCATCATGGGGAAGAACCAGTTTATGTATTAGTCCCAGCATTTCAAGGGACTACATAATGATTGACATGTTGTGCTAATTAATTAAAATTATTTTATGACACTCAGAAAGCTATATGGATTCCTCACAGCAGTTAAGCAGTCTTTCCTTACCTCCTCCACAGGGTTTTGAGCACTGAGACCATTTTTTCAAAGCCCACTCATATGTTACAGAGTCTTCTAAAACATTGTTGTTATCGACATTCAAGGAGTCTTCATGGATCATATACTTGTACGTCAGTGAAATCTTGATATTACCATGAGGAATTGCCTAGTTGAGCAAGAAACCAATACACTTTCAGCAAGAATGATAGAATGATAGAATCCTAGAACTGGAAGAAGTCACAAGTTTAAAGACCTTCAAAGACTTGCAGTAAAGTTCTTCCTAATTCCTTACCTTGTAATTTAAATCCATTTGTTTCTCTTTTATTTAGTCTCTTTTAGGTACCCTAAAAAACAAGCTCGCTCAATCTTCTACATTACATGTCTTTGGATATTTAAAGATGACTATCATATTGTTTCTAAGTCTTATTCAAGCTACAATATTTAGCATATTATATAGGCACTTAAAAAGATGGTGACCCAAAGGTTTTAGGATCTAGATATATTTCCATTACTTTTAGTGACTTTGTTATTCTCTTTTGTATTTTGGAAAATACATTTTATGGATCACGCAACTATTATAGGGTCACATATTATAACAGTGCTCTTTGGATAAATATAGAAATAAATAGCAGTTTAAAACCTCCCTTATGCTAAAATGATGTTCTTAAATTATTTTCACGAAAGTTAGTCCAATTTAAATCAATGACATTTATTATCATTGTCAGGATGTGAAGTTTATTATTTACTTTAATTTATAAAAGAAGTTATGCACACCAGAATGTCCTCTCTAGTTCTGAGAATATTAAATTTGTTTAGATGACTTGAAAAAATTGTTTCTAATATAGGTTATTTATTTATTTTATTGAAAAAACCAAATAAAATGGGGTAGATCAGCAAAATTATATAATGGAGATTAAGAGCATCTTCCCTTCCAAATTGGAAATGACATTATTTTCCTATTGTGATTGCAAATGCATTTTTGACTCTGGAGAGGAGGTAACGGTAAGGAATGTTGTCATGCATTGTAGCTGTGTCTGAAACATCTGCAGAGTGTTCACTGAACATTTTAAACTGGAATTTCCTAGATGATGAGATGCATGTAATATTTCTGAACTCCTTTCTGGTAAGAACAAATGGAGTTACTTCTATTCAAGAAGTCAAAATCAACAGCAACTAATTTCAGCTAGCCCATAATTTTGTATTTTTAGTATTTAGGGTCCAGTGGTCCGGCATAGTTATTACTAGCACTGATGCTTTTGTTACTTTATTTTATTTTTATATATGGATGACATATTTTAATGATGTTTACTTGGTGTTAGTTGATTGATGCTAATTTAGACAGCTGGTGGCCATGGTGGCTGGGGGATTCTTGGTGCAGTAGTCCAAAAACTAACTTTTCCAATCTCTTACAAACAAAAATGACAACATGCAACATGAGGAATAGACAATTCATGATGCTGTTGATTGTTAAAACAGATGTCTTAACAGATGCAACCCACAAAAGATTAGATGCATGATTCAGAGTAATTTAGAAATTTTCATCTTCCTGTAACTTACCAGAACGATGATCCCACTGCGTAAAGGGCCCATAGTTTGCACCATTTCTCTATCATCATCATTCCGATACTCCCACTCCACACCCATATTAACAAACACTTTGGAGTCTGGCACATAGTTGTCTTCATTTAAAATAAATTTCCCTGTTTCCTTGTTTTTGATAGCTTTAAAAAAGACAAACATGAAAGTCATTTTCAGTTTTTTTTCTCTATTCATTTTTCATTTTCTGAGACGAAAAGAGGTCAAATGGTTCCCGACAGCATTATCTGCTTATTTCCTTTATCTGTTTTAATCGAATTATTTACATCTTAGCCTTCCTTTAAAAACAAGAAGAAACAGATCCTGATTAAATATAAAACATTGCCCAAAATATAAAATACAACCAAAGTTGGCCCTCTGCATCTACAGAAAATGTTGAGGGACACCATTTTAGGATGACATAATGTCTAATGGGACATGATAACTATTGAAGGGCCCCTAGTTATTCATACCACTAACCCCTTTTCCCAGGGTTACATTACCCCATAGCCTGTTCATTTTCCATAGCAAACCAGTGAGTATAGAAAGATACCTGCATGCATAAAGATCATGTGTAACACCTTTGAGACTGAGAGAAAGAAGTTGGCACCTGAAACACAACCAATTTGCTCTTCTGCAATCTGTTTAGTTTTTGGAGAACTTTATGGAAGGCATTATACTTCTAGTGCTGAACACAATTTTCTCTGTTTTCAGTTATATCTTCAATAGAGTCACTTTTGTTATTTTTCAAGGTAGTAGGAGCTTGCACATAGTTCTCTATGCATAAACATACTATGCCTTTTTCACACACAACTGAAAATAAAAACAGGTGTGAGAAAAGGTTGGTCAGGGTTGCCTGCCTGATTCAGGTATCAGTAGAAGCAGCCCCTGGTGAGGCAACAAGCAGCTTAGGCTGGCCAAGGAAAGGTATTCAGGTCACAGTGAAGTTTCCAGTCTAATAAGAGAAATTTGGCCATCATCTAATCTGTAGATTATGCCATCTTGGAAAGGCAGGAAGAACAAGAAAAGGGGCATAAAACAGGGGTGAGGAAAAAGCAGGCTGAAGGTTACACATACCATTTTTGTGATCTCTCCAAGGGACTCAGGGCAGATTCTGGCATAAGGCAAACATTCAATGCCTCAAAACAATGAAACACAGATACACAGATAAAGGTAAAGACTTCCCCTTCATCTTCAGCTCTGAGGGATGGTGCTCATCTCTGGCTCTGGAGGTGGTTTTAATCTCCATTTCTAAGCCAAAGAGCCTGCATTGTCCGTAGACACCTCCTAGGTCATGTGGCTGGCATGACTGCATAGAAAGACATTTTACCTACCTGCTGAGGAGGTACCTATTGATCTACTCACATTTGCATGTGTTTGAACTGCTAGGTTGACAGGAGCTGGGGCTAACAGTGGGAGTTCACCCTGTCCCATGGATTTGAACCACGGACAGTTCAGCAGCTCAACGGTTTAACCCGTTATGTCACTGTGGCCCCAAGTAAGTTTAAAATGTAAATAAAATTGTTGAAATGTACTTCATCATTTCTAGAATGCACAAGAAGAATGCAGACATGATTTGGGGCACTGTGTACTGTTTCAGGGGAGACCTTTTTAGAAAGTGCCAAGTGACTTGAAAAAGATTACTCCTGGGTGAAAAACAGCCCAGACGAGTCCAAACCATGGCTAGACTGCATTCTAAATTTTAAAAATAGGTGTTTTTAAAATGAATAATTCTTGGCCTTTCTGTGTCCAGGAGCTGCTGCTTTGATGGAAATGTAGGACAAGATATGTGCTATGATGCTATAGGGGCAATGGTGGTAAAAACAGATAGTTCAAATGAACGTTTCTCTCTTTAAACTTCTCTCATTTGTCTCCTCTTTACACTGTTGTTAGATGGCTTCCAGTAGATTCTGACTAATCATAATCCTAACTCTTGACAAGACTTATTCAAAGAATAAATCTACTTGTTTAGATTTATCCAAGATCATTTATTGAATCCTCATGAATGAATGAGGTTTCAAACCCTGGTCTCCCATGTCCTAGGCCAATAATTAAACCGCTATACCATGCTGACTCACTTTTCTCTATATAAGATAAGATCAGAATAACTTCACACTTCTCCTTCCTTCCTCCTTTTGTTTCTCTAATAGCTTCCTAAGCTTGACTCCTTTCTCTAGGATAGACTTGCTGTTTTGACCTATATGAATTGCAAATAGTCTTTCCCTGAACATCCAAGATGTACAGCATGCAAGAACTGAATGTTCTGGGGCAGGGGGAATATTATGGGGTGGAGAGAAATGTTGGCTTTGCACTCTTGGGAGGTTTTCTTTCATCAAGCAGCAGACACAGCTGCCTTTTCTACCCCTTCACAGCCCTCTTGCTTGGAAGGTAGTCTTTCCTGCAGTCAGCTACTTTGTTTATGTTGATAAAAGACCAGTTCTGAAGCTTTGTTATCCTATTCACTGGATTTCAGTCCTGAATCAGCTGGTGTTATTTGATGGAGCTGCTTTTTAATCTAATTGGTGTGCATTTAAAGAGTCCACAGCACGAATAAAGAAACATATGAAACTGACGGACTTGGCACAGTGTTTGTCTGTCTTTGTGAATTTTGTTCTCATGGATCAAAACAGCAACCTGCTGACTTGCTTTTAATCAGCTTCAGTGTGTCTTCCATGATACATCTGAGAACATCCTAAACAAAGGAAGAACCATAGTTTGGGAAATACACTTTTCTGAATTACTACATCAAGTAGCTATGGGCCATTTGGGCTAGGAGATTCTTGAAGCTGTTGTCTCTATAAAAGGATCTTTCCAACGTTTTGGTGGAGCATTACTTTTCCATTTCAGGAACGTGTATTTATTCTGGCATTTCTCTGCCCATTGAGTCATTTGACTACCCACCCTAGCATTCCAGTCTCCTGTGATGAAAATAGTCTCTCTTTTTTAGGTGTATTATCCAGTAGGTGTTGCAGGTCCTCATAGAACTGTTCTACATCTGCTTCTTCAGCAGCTGTGGTTCGGGTGTATATTTGGATCACTGATGTTGAAAGGCTTTCCTTGCACTCGAATTGAGATCATTCTGTCATTTTTTGGGTTGTATCCAAGCACTGCTTTAGCGAATTTCTTATTAATTATGAAGGCTACTCCATTTCTTCGGTGTTCCTCTTGTCCGCAGTAGTAGATCTGGTGGTCATCTGATGTGAAGTGGCCCATTCCAGTCCATTTCAGTTCGCTGACCCCCAGAATGTCTATCTTTAGTCTTGACATCTCACCAATAACAACATCCAATTTGCCCTGGCTCATAGATCTTACATTCCAGGTTCCTATGGTGTGTTGATCTTTAGAGCATCGGATTCGTCGTTGACCTCCAGTACCGTCGGCCGCTAGCCTTCCTTTCGGCTTTGAGCTAGCTGCGTCATCACATCTGGGGCTAGTTGAACTTATCCTCTGCTCCTCCCCAGTAGCATTTTGGCCATCTTCCGACCTGGGAGTCCCATCTTCCAATGGCATACCAACATATCTCTGGTTGTACTGATCCATTTAGTTTTCTCATGCCAGTAAGGTAATACTCAAGATCCTGCAAGGAAGACTCCAGCAATACATGGAGAGAGGGTTGCCAGATGTACAAGCTGGGTTTAGAAAAGGCAGAGGCCAAATTGCCAATATCCGGATGCTGGAGAATGGAGAAAGGCAGGGAGTGTCAGAAAAACATCTATTTCTGCTTCATTGACTACTCTAAAGCCTTGGACTGTGTGGATCATAATAAATGGTGGCAAGTTCTTGGTGGTATGGGCATCCCAAGCCCCCTTCCCTCTCTCCCCACCCCACCCCCCCCCACTCCCACCAACCCCACATCCACCCCATCCTCCCATACCCACACCCACTCAAATCCCCCATCACACCTCCACACCACCCAACATACCCACCCATCAACACACACCCACTATCACCCCCCCAATCTAATTTGTAAGTTCATATCCCAAGCCACCTTGTCTCTCTCCTGAGGAATCTGTATAAGGACAAAGTAGCAACAGTAAGAACTGACCATGGAACAACAGACTGGTTCAAGATTGGGAAAGGCGTACGGCAGGGTTGTATACTCTCCCCCAACCTATTCAACTTGTATGCAGAACACATCATGCGATGTGCGGGGCTTGATGAATGCAAGGCTGGGGTGAAAATTGCTGGAAGAAACATTAACAACCTCAGATATGCAGATGACACCACTCTGATGGCCAAAAGCGAGGAGGAGCTGAGGAGCCTTCTAATCAAGGTGAAAGAAGAAAGCGCAAAAGCTGGGTTGCAGCTAAACATCAAAAAACCAAGATTATGGCAACAAGAATGATTGACAACTGGGAAATAGAGGGAGAAAATGTGGAGGCCGTGACAGACTTTGTATTTCTAGGTGCAAAGATTAGTGCAGATGCAGACTGTGGCCAGGAAATCAGAAGACGCTTACTTCTTGGGAGGAGAGCAATGTCCACTCTCGATAAAATAGTAAAGAGTAGAGACATCAGACTGGCAACAAAGATCCGCCTAGTCAAAGCCATGGTATTCCCTGTAGTAACCTACGGATGTGAGAGCTGGACCTTACGGAAGGCTGAGCGAAGGAAGATCGATGCTTTTGAGCTGTGGTGTTGGAGGAAAGTTCTGAGAGTGCCTTGGACTGCGAGAAGATCCAACCAGTCCATCCTCCAGGAAATAAAGCCAGAATGGGCTTTGCGGTGGAAGGATACTAGAGACAAAGTTGAAGTACTTTGGCCACATCATGAGGAGACAGCAAAGCCTAGAGAAGACAATTATGCTGGGGAAAGTGGAAGGCAAAAGGAAGAGGGGCCGACCAAGGGCAAGATGGAGGGATGGCATCCTTGAAGTGACTGGAATGACCTTGAAGGAGCTGGGGGTGGTGACGGCCGACAGGGAGCTCTGGCGTGGGCTGGTCCATGAGGTCACGAAGAGTCGGAGATGACTGAACGAATGAACAACAACAACAACCTCCATCCTTGTGAATCATTGCCCTGGGATATTTTCTTGCCATGAATAATAAGAATGCATCTGAAGATGTGTAGTTCAAACCAGGCATTAAACTATGCCATCATTAAGAAACCACTGGACTTATACTGAATAAAAACCTTAAACTGAATCC